GGGGTGAGGAGATGAGGGGGAGGGAACCCGCACCATCACGGCATTCTATCGCTGCAACCCAGGCTGTCCACGGATGTCCTGACAGAAAAACCCTTTTTTTTTCCCCCTGCTGCAGAGTCTCAACAGCAGTGGAGGGGGAGGAGTGCCAGCAGTGGGAGTCAGCTGCCAGGGGAGGAATGGGGTGAGTGAAACATCTCCCTGCTTGGGCTGTGAGGAGCTGGGAGAGGCGTACAGTAGCACACACAAGCTCCACACACACTGGCGAAAGTTCGGGGATCGTGCTCCTGGCTAATTAATACCCATCGTTAATTACCTGTAATGGTTCTACCTGAGCTGCGACGCCCCAGGACTGCAGACCTGCAGCATTCCCAGTTTGTCTGTCCTAATAACATGAGCAAGGGGGCAACAGCAGAGGCATTAAGACGAGCAGAGAGGGGGCGCTTGGGTTCGAAAGGGCTGGACCTGCGTTGGTCCTCCTTGTGATGCTGGCATCTCGTTTTCAGAACGGCTACCCGGGGAGAGAGAACAGCATGATCCTCCGGTACATCTCGGACCCCACAGACGGCTCGCTCAACCACGACTTCCGTCCCCTCCCAGGCAAGTTTACCCACCCGCCCGCCTGGTCACACTGCTCTTCACATGGCCACACTATCGGGCTTCAGTCCCGTCTGTTGGCCTCGTGCCTTGACAAGTGGCCGCCCTTGGTTTCATGCGCCGTAGTTCGGCACTCGAAAGGCATGAGCCCTGACTGCTGGCGTAGTGCAACTCCTCAACTATAAAAGGTTTTAACAAGCAAGGTCTATCCTCAAGAAGTGCAGACAGTCATGAATGTGTGCAGGACAATAGCCAGTCCCAGAATAAAGTGGTTAAAATTGGCCAAACATTCTCAGAGGGGGGAGGGGGAAAAAAATGAAATCTGCAGTCTGGTTTCACCCCCAATTATATGAATTCATACATACGCATGCCGCTGCAGATTATCGAATAGGACGTTGAGGACCATAATTTTACAGTTATGTATTCGCTGATTTACTGCAGATGCATTGTGGATTTTCGACAAATGACTGGGGGGGGGTTCCAGCAATTGTTAGGTTGGCAGCAGGGTCCAAATCTGGAAAAGCAATTAGCGATTAGCTACACATGACCGACGCTCTTTGACAGAAAGGGGGGTGGGGGGGTTCATTTTAAGATAGAAGCACAGAGAAACTTCTGTGGTTACAGACACTGTGATAACTACCTGGAAAGCCAGGATATGAATAATGATGAGGGGAATTCCATATGTCCTGCAGTTAATACAACAGACACACTTTGAGTATCACAGTGTCCTACAAAGTCCTGAACAAACAAAAAACCTAAATATGTTGATGGAGAATCATTGAATGATGGTGAGGGGCAGGGGGGTGGGATTTGTTTGATTTAGTAATTTTGGACAAACAATATCATGTGAGCAAAATAGCTATGCATAACTTTTTAAAAAGTGGACTTGGCCCATGGAATTTGGGAATCCCTGTGCAATGGCGACCTCTGCTGTATGGGATCAGTACTGCAGCAATCTTACATTTGGGCTCACTGTTTCACAAGACCAACTGTATGTCAGTTCAGTACAGAGCGATACAATTTACTACTAGTCAGGCTTCTGTTCTCCAATGGTCTATTTTTCTTGCTGTCTTGCAGAGTATGTCAACGAAAATGGCACTGGGCCGCTCGACATGACAAACCCCATCTACCAGAACCCCCTGCCATCCAGCTCCACGGTCCCCGCGGTGGCGTCTGACGAGGCGGAGGCTGAGTACCTGAACTGCTTCAAGCTGGAACTTTCTCAGCCCGAGTACCTCAATGTAGTGCAGCCCGTCTTCAACAAATCCCAGAGCTGCGGGCAGAAATTCGGAGCCCAGACCAGTCTGGACAACCCGGACTATCAGGAAGGCTTTTCTGCCTTTGGACGTTCACGGGCCAATGGTCACCTGCCTGCCAAGGAGAACGTGGAGTACCTGGGCCTTACTGTGGAAGCGCAGGTCCACTAACTGCCCCCAGAAACTCAAGGTAGCAGAGGGACAGACAAACTTTAACAGGGGTGCAATAGACTGCTTTCATTTGCTTCTCTTATCGGTGTAGTTTCATAACCAGGCTACCTGGAGACAGTCCTCCAGGTGCAGGAAGTCACCTTCAACTGAGAACATTTGCCCTGTGACCTATGACCTGTGATGCTTCAACTGAAGTGCCCCAAGCTCGCATTTTCATGAGAATTCGGGACGGCACCATGTTCAGCCACTGGATGTTGTTCAGAATGAGCCCTCCTTAAATTCCGCTACGGCCTTGTGATCCCACCTGCTCTTCGCTAAACGTGGAGGTACTGAAGTTACTGAAGGTACTGAGGGGCTTAAGTCCATTTATCCTGTCTGAGGTTCTGTCTTGGCGAAGTAGTTAATAATATCGTACGTCGGATTCTCTGCTGGTTCTTGGCCACTGACCCAGTCAGGTAGGTTCAAAGGGGCAGCTCTTCGGCCAAAGAGCGCCCAACTAGATGATGGGGGAGCTCGAGAGCTTCAGCGAATGAGAGATGACTTTTCGGAAGCCGATCGCGGCAGCCACTCTTCTGTCACGACGGATGTGAAGGTTGCGGAAAGACGACGACGACTTCGTATCGTCAACGAGCTACACAGGGGCGTCGTTGCTGGGACCCTTTCATGTGCTGCCATAGATGAATGTTTTGTAAATAAAAAACAGGAATGTTTTTACCTTTTAGGTTTAAATCTGTACAGCTGCGCTCAGTTGGAATCTCTTGGTTTATCGAGAAATGGGAGATTTGGACGGTCTGCTGAAATCTTTGGTCAGATTTTAGTACGCCGTTGGTAAGCCATCACAGCCTGTATAGAATGGTCCAAGGGTCGAAAACTGGACAAAATAAGTTGAAGATTATAGACATATTATATTCATGTATTTGTATTGTTTCCATTTGTAATTTACTTATTTTAAATTCCTGAGAAAATGCACTGTTCCCTTTGCTCTGTTCTACCCAGTGTACATGTAGCCTAACCACACTCACTTTTCCAGTTTTTTTTTTTTTTTATAAATCCGTTTACCCTTGGCTAAGTCTCTAGATTTGCTCTTCAACTTAGACCTTCCTGTGGGGTTCAGGTTTTATAAGGTGAACAGTTAAACTCCACCAATGCAGACTTTGGTGAAACACATTTTCCCTATAAGGTTTGTCGTACTTGTCTGTCGCTAATGTTATATTGTGTCATACAGGACAACTGCAGATTAAAGCGATTTCTGCAGCCGTTGGGCGCGTCGCTGTATATGTCTACATTGTTTATTCCATCAATAAATCAATACTTTTTTTTTTTTAATGCATTGTGGGATTCTTTTCCTGTTGTGACAATGTAGTCAGGTGTCTCTAGACTTAAACAAGCAGGTGTAAAGGCTTGTTTAAATCCTGAATTTCATATTTTAAAACTGAAATGGGAGATGGTTGCTTTAAGAAGTAGAGCAGTCTCAGGAAACCCCTCCAACTGCCACCCCCAAAACAAAGGGGGGCGGGGTGTTTATACTCAACACAGCTGCAGCCCTCTGGGGGCATATTAACTTATCCAACAGTTAAAAGCTTGGATTACACCCACTAGGCATCACTGGCTCAACAACATGTTTACTCAAGCTGATTTGCCTCGGACAGCCTTGACTAGGGCATCTCAGAGGTCACTAAAAGGCAAACTGGATCCTATGGCTGCTTATCGTCCCAAGAACACTGTTTGGAACCCTAATTAACAGTCAACAGCACCTCCATGATTTAGGTTCTCTACATGGTATGTGGCTTAATTGGTTAGGTCTGATCAGGTGGTCACCAGTTAGAATACACAGGCTGGTAGTGTAAAACTGCCTTTGTCACCTTCAACATCTCCAGCGATGCTGCCTGAACTTCCCTTTTAGTTGATGTTGACCACTCATGACACAAGAGGGCGCAAAAGATTCAACTTTGTATAGAAGTAGTTTATTTCTAAAAGGCAACATACCAATACTTGCAATCATTGCAGACAGTTTGACACTTCAAATTGAACTTAAAAATTACATATTATTTATTTACTTTGCCAGTAAGATGTCAACTGTCAGTTTGCTAGGATACCGACAGAGCATCCTGCACTTCCTGCAAGCTCTCAAGAGGTTAATGCATACAAAAATTGCTTTGCAAAAAATAAAGGCACCTCCAAATGTCCTGTGGAGATTCCTCATGTTCAGAAATTAACCTTCTAGATACTAAATGATTAGCTGCAGCAGGGACATAAGTTTTAGCAACAACAACAATCCTTCAAATTGATATTTTGTGAAAAGGGCAATGACACATCCTGGGAAAACACCATCATCCTGGTTAGTGTCATAACCCTACCTGAAGGCACAGGATTCTTCACAATGACGGGACGCCCCAGGGAAGACTTTGCCCTTCCTTTGTGACATTAAGTCTTCAGGCACAGGGAAGCGGGGTGGAAAAGAGAAGGCACCTACAAAACGACACTCCTGCTTCACCCGTAAATGGCGGCATTCTCCCTGCCAGCGGCCCATCTCCCATACCTGCTCATCCTGGGCAGGGTACCAGGGGCCCAGAGCCTATCATGGAAGCTACATGCACAAGGCAGGAAATGACCCGGGACAGGCTGCCTACCAATCACAGGGCACTCACTCTCTCTCTCTCTCACTCACACACACAGCCTCCCTAGCATATAGCAAGCAGAGAGCTACCACACAGCCAATATGAATTCAAACTCTCTTAAAACTAAATCTACTGGACGACACACAAAAAGCCATTATTCATCATTAAGTTTCAAAAATATACTGTGATATAAAAGTAGAGTAAGTTCATCAGAACTTCAGAAAACCACAACTTTGACAGTCACTTCTTATTTTGCCTATAAACACTGACATTGTACAACAGCACAGAGGCTGAGGGTCATTCAAACAGATAACTCCGATCTGACTGCGTAAATGTAATGCCTAAATTCGTAAAAAGATGAAATGTGGAATTTTAGTTCTACATGCAGCAAACCGCAGCACATTAGTCATGACCTGGCATAACGCAGCTGGAAGCGCGGACTCCAGAACGCAGATAATTCCAGCGTGTTTGGAAGTTTCAGTTCTCCGATTGCTACTGAAGGGAAAAAAAGGTCAGGAGATCTGGGCTTCAGGAGATCTGGGCTACAGCAGATCATCTTGACGTAATTTGACCATAGGGGGACACAGATGAAGCATGTTCTTTATGCGGGTGGGTGGGTAGGGGGGGCTACTTTGGCTTTTCTGCACATACAGAGACAAGCCGACAAGCAAAACAACTGAGCATCGGATTAGTACGATTAGTTTATTCAAGAAATCACTGTCATGTAGCACAGAGAGCGCCTGGAATAGCTTTCTGCCTGGAACACTTCATTGGTGAAATCGTGACAGAAACAATATTAAAAAAAACAGGAAAATTTTTCGAGTTGTGCGCTGCCCAATTTCATGGCCTGTGCACCGGCAAAAACGGAGCTACGGAGGACACGGGGGGGGGGGGGGACACTTCCGGCAACCACGTGTAGCGCTGTACTGCAGAAACTCCCCAATGGCTGGAGGGCCTTCACCCCCCTGGACCGCCAAGCCAGCAGGGGGCGACTGCAGTAGGCGTTTACCAGCACCTCCAAACCACCCCCCCCCGGCATCGAGGTCCTCATTAAAATGAGCATCGGCAGTCAGGGAAAGGAGCCTGTGACAAGTTGTTTTACAAAAACAAAAACCTTTTAAGTTCCCTTGTAGATCGTCAAACCGCTTGTAGCGACCGCGTCGTCCCGTGGTTTCGTGTCTGACAAGGAAACATCGTGAGATTTTCCAACTGGCAACTTCTGGAACAAAAATCTCTGCAAAGCCCTTCTGAACACCCAAGCCATTTTACAATTTGTCATGTACAAAGTTAGTTAAACTCATCGTCTCACTTTGTGAAAAAAATGTTTAGCCTTTATACAGTTGCACATACAGATCCATTAAAAAGCAAATCTGTCTGGATGCGCGTCTGATTCAGTGTCTGGAAAGGACGATCCGGCACAGCAGCGGCTACTGGGTCCCTATACCGCTGCTAGAGAGGAAGACATCAATGTCCCTCGTCGACACTTGACTCCATGCAGTGAAACCCCCGCCCCCCACCCCCTCGTGTCCAGGGTGTGGTTCCGTGCGGCACGGTGCTTGTGTAGTGTTGCCGATGGATGAAAACGAAAAATAATATTACGTGCCAGGTGGTGTGTGTGGTTTTGAGAGTTCCTGAGTTAGAGATGAAGTCAGCCTGAAGTTTTTCTGGGTGGGGCAAGCATCCGTGTGCGATCGGAGGACGAGATCCGAAGCTGGCCCACGCCATCGCCGAAACGCAGACCCACCCCTATCTTGAGAAGGCCTTAGAGGTTCAGCAGCCGCTCCCTCTCCGTTCCCACGTAGCGTTTTCGAGAAGCAGCCAGTTTGGCTTTATTTACAGAGGGACCTGCAGAGTAGTGAGAGAAAAGTGGTATTAGCTTTAAAGGAGCACGAGAAGCTCACCGTCAAAGCCACGGTGGGGCAAGAAGAACATCAAATCAAACCCGCAGAACAAGAAAATTCTCCCTTTTTTTTTTTAAGGTTCATATATCGCGTGACATGAGGGTGAGGGAAGGACCATTCAGCTGTCAGGTCTAATAAGGTTCCAGGTACATCGGAGAGGTAAACAATCCACTAAGTAGCGCAAATAATTGCTGTTAATAAAAAGCACATTCCAGTGCGAGGAGTTCGCTGTGGAGGCAGGCAGACGGGCGCGGCTGGCGTGAGGAGCCCCCACCTGCGTAACTCAGCAGCACGGGCAGGAAGATGAGGCCGTGGGCCGCCCCCAGAAGCACGATAGCCAGGTACATGCGGAAATAGAAGACCTGGAATATCTGGGACTTGGAGAGGGCCAGGATAAGGATGCCGCCGAACTTGGTCAGAGTGATTCCGCTGAACACCTGCAGAAGAGCGGAGTGGGAATTTACGCCGATTACTGATAGATTCCTCATAGTGATTTCATTAAATCCGCAAATAATAAGTATTATGCTCTATATGTGACTTCATCCCCCCCAAACAGACAGCAGGTGGCGTTTAGCTTGAAGGCTGATGTAATTCGCGCCATAGGTGTTCATCAGGTACGTCCTTGATGTAAGTGGTTACCCTGGGACCACCTGACCGGACTCCACTAGCGGTGGCGTACTTACGGAGCTCCCCATGTTAGCCAGCGCCTGTTCGGCCCGGTCGACCCGCGTGCTGCCGGTGCCGATGGAGAAGGCACGCACGATGTGGCTGCAGAACTCCACGGAGATGCCGCAGGTCTGAACACGCACACACACGCACACACACAGATGAGTACCACTGACAAACCCTCTCCAACCAATAAAAGGGCTTCACATGAAAGGGGTCGACATTGGGACAGACCCCAGCTGCAAGAACTTCAGGAAACCTAGTGGTAATGCGAGAAAAATAAAGTCATATGCAACTGAAAGTGCAGTAAAAAAGACAGAAAAACTTTTTTTTTGTTATTGCTTTATTGTTTGTGGTTGTATGTTCATTGTCTTAGTATTTTTGAGAGACTTGTGTTTTGTAGTTATGTTTCGTTGCCTTTAGTGAATTTGGTAGTATGTCTATTGTGTGCTTGTAAACTAGCCGCCATTCTTGGCCAGGACTCCCTGGAAGAAGAGTTATTGTAACTCAATGGGACCTTCCTGGTTAAATAAAGGTTAAATAAAATAAAATAAAAATAAAAAACGTAAGAATGAAAGAGAAAATAACGGGAAAAGACAGAAAAAGTAAGAGAAAACGAGGAGAAAACGAGAAAAAAAGATTACAGAATACAGTGACCCGGTAATGCAGACCAAACTCCGGCTCGCTCACCATGACCAGGTTGACGAGCGACACGGCATTCAGGCTGATGCTCCAGAGCCACATGACCCCGAACATGTTGACGAGGATCATGGCGATGGTGATGCAGACCATGACGGCAGACCAGAGCTCGAAGCCCAGCAGCACGGTGGTCACCACGAAGATGGCCGCCAGGGACACCCCCAGGTTGAAGGCCGTGTCCGCGGCGATGGTGAGGTACTGCTCGTAGAACACGTAGAACACGCTGCAGGGAAGGGTCACCATGGTTACAGCTCTGCAATGCTGTCCCCACAAACCGATTCACACAAAGACGCTCAGCCCCATTGCATCATGGGTTTTTCCCATTGTGTGTTAGTGGGTCATCACACTCTTAGGTACCAATTCAAACAATGTTTTGCATACTTAGATGTGTTTACAGTGGTTTTCCAACAAACACAGAACTGGGGAGTCCACTGCGTCTCAGACTCCACGACAAACCCAGCCCCACAGTCACAGCACAGACAGCCTTGTCTAATCTGACGCTGGACCTTGAACGCTTCATTTCATCAATACCAGGGAGGGGCCACCACCTTCACGCTGAAGGCCGCTCACTGGAGTCCCTCTGGCACACCTTTAGCCCAGAAAAAGCAGCGCGGGCAGAAGTGCTCAATACTAGCCATTAATTCCTAGAAAAATGTTCCAGTATTGCACAGAATGCTATTCGGTCATTTCAGACATTCACATGAAAACCCAAGGCTGGCACCACAAAGTACAACTTTAAATACCGCGTCTTTTAACGAGGCTGTGATTTCACAGGCCCCGGAATATACTTAGCTAAATTAGTAGGCTAAATCCCTCTTATTGGTCAGTCAGCGGTGGAGCTGGCCAATGGGGCGCAGGGGGAGGGGCAACGTACCTGTAAGGAAAGACGCTGTAGTTCTTGCCCTGCGGGGCCATGGTGCGGGTGATGTTGTCGGCCAGGATACGCGCCATCTTCATGGCGTCGATGAAGTCCTGCGAGGTCTGCAGGATGGTGTGGTAGGTCATGAAGTAGGACGCGCCCACGTCGGTGCCGTTGTGCGTCAGGGCCACCGCAGCGCTGTAGGCCGCATGCCCTCTGGTGGCAGCGAGGCAGGAGATACCTTGGTGAGGAGCTCCAGTGAAGCCAGCAAACACTCCAATAAACAGGCTGAGGCTCAACTGTACTGCACACGCATTTTAGCCAGTGATATTCGAACTTTACAATGAGCTATAGGACACTGAACTTCAATAAAATCCTTATTTCAGCCTGACAACAAAACTACTACGTATCTGATATTTATTTTTTCATAAAGACACAGCAGTGGCTGTTCGGCTTAAAGCTGGAGACTCTCACCCTTTGCCGCATTTGGGGTTGGGATTGTCAGACAGGAACATGGGCAGGAACTTCATGAACTCGCCCTCGGTGGGCCTGGTCCTCCCTTGTGTTGGGGAGCGGCAGTGAACGCAGGACTTGTCCACCACTGGGGTACAGTGTGAGGAGATCGATGACCATGTGACACAGGACAAAATGGGATGATGACTCCCTCCTACTACCATACAATTACATGATCACACACATTTGTTACTCAACTGTAAGACCCGGCCATAGCAGAGCTCCACATACGTCTTAAAACCTTGATCCTGACACTACAAACTAGGCTCTACATGTTGACCTTAAGCACTAATCCTACTGAAACATTTTGCAAATTCCCATTTGTGCATGATCCAGGGATAACTTAAATCAGAGGCTTGTTCGTAGGCATCCAAAGTGCGTTTCAGCGATAATTTTACAGTTCGACATCAACGGCAATATATGACGCAAGGTAAACGACAAGGAAGCTACATCGGGGCTGTTTAGCTCCAGCTAACATCGGGAGTAAAGTCAACGGGAGACGGTGGTCCGTACAGCCCAACCGGACGAGAGCTCACCGGAGGCGTTGCAGAAGGCGCCGGACGTGTTGTAGATCCTACAACATGTGGATTCCGGCTTCACCCAGTCGAAGTAGTCATCCAGCCAGGACGAGGACGGGAAGCCGATTCTCGTGCTTTATGGGGTGGGGGGGAGCAAGGTTTTACTACAACTACAGACACACTGATCAGGCGGCACGACGTCGGTACTGGCATGCTGGTCGGTTTGAGGACTCACTAGTTGCTCATCTGAGAGGCCGTGTAGAGCTGCTGGATGAGAGAGTCGTTGTTGCAGCCCACGCCCCCACAAATGGCGTTTTGCCCTTCCAGCGTCCGGTAGTCATGGCCGTCCTCCACCACGAAGTAGACGGGTGCGCCGGTGTGGAGGTATGCGCTCAGGTTGGTGAAGTAGTGCAGCATGTAGGAGTCCTACATGACAACGTCCGCCGACGCGCGGTAGAGAAAAGCTAAATATGAGGTACACCAAAAACACCGCGCTCGTCGAACCAACACGTCAACCTTATGACCACCTCCTCCCGTAAACCTACTCATTTCTGGATCACATAACCACGTTTGGATCTCAGCAGAATTAAAACAGAAGCCTAGCCCCTAAACACCAATGGCGCAGACAACTCGGTAACACCTACAAGCTGACTCTACGTTAGCTACATCAGGCCGACCGTTACTCACATCAGGCATGGAGAGCTTCTGGTCCAGGCCGATGTCTACCTTATTTATCACAGCAATGCTGAAGGACAGCATGCCCACGAACACTGATACCTGCGAGGGCAGAAGGGGATTATGAGTAATTTACTGAAAGCTCATCAACAAAGGGTCATTTCATCATGGAACTGGAAGATCCCAAACTGATGAGAGACCATCCTCTTCTGCGCAGAGACTAGCTCTCGGTGCGAGCCGGCCATGTGCAGGATACTCACCACGATGGGCCGCACCCAGTCCTTCAGAATGAAGGGCGCATAGATCTTCTTGAAGAACCTGAAAAGGAAGCCGTCGGTCTTCCCCTCCTGGCCCTCAGGCAGCTTTATGCAGCACATGATGTCCAGGCGGTTGCTCTGTTTTGGATAGAACCATGACAGAGCAAACAAGCCCAGGTGAATTCGACAGCGGCGGTACTATACTCCGCAATTACCGCAACGCACAAAAGGCACCTACACATCATAAATATGGCTCGGAGTGGTCCGCCTCGGACCGCCCCCCACCCTGGTCAGCTGACAAGCCCCCCTCCCTCAGGGACTGACCTCTTGCCTTCGGATATCCAGGCCCAGCAGGCTCACGAAGCAGCTGATCTGCAGCAGGAAGTCGATGAAAACGGCCAAGCCGGCAAAGAGGGAGAAGGTGCGCACGGCCGGCATGGTGGACAGAGCACCTGCAGAAAGGTCCGACAGCAGGCCCGTGTGTCACAGCACCACCACCAACCAAAAACTCCATTTTTCAATATTAACGCAGGTTCCTTTAACAGACAAGATGCTTCCTTTTAAGGTCAGATTTATCGTTTTACCTCCAGAAGTGCCGACCGTGGCCCAAAGTTGATGGATTTATAAAATATCTAAGCGCAAATGCACATTAGCACCTCGCATGCCTGCGCATGCATAGCGTTACACTTCACCGCATATCTTGCGATGGTGCTGGATTTGCACCACTTAGTTTCATGACATTTTCGTTTAGTTTCATTTCATTTTACAGGCTGCACGTAAGCAATCTCCATCAGCACAGAAAGGGATATTCAGCCAGATATTCTGATTTTAGATTCGCGTTCTCTTTCCTCTTTATAAAAGTTCTGCGCGGTCCCTGTGCTTGTGTCTGAGTGCGTGTTTATGGGTCTCGATGGGTACCTCAGTCACGGAGAGTGACTGTATGTGTCCCTACAGTTCAGAGGGAACCAAAACTGTGACCAAAATGCCATGTCGCTGGATAGCAGCAATTTTAACTGATGGATAAAAACTAATATTTCAGATATGGGATACTTAGGTAATAGCGCAGATCCAAAAAGGACCAAAATGAACACTTCAAAAGATAAGTGAATATGATTTCTATAAAATAGAAGGAGAAATGGATCGGACGGGGCCAGGAAATGTGGCGTAGATGTGTAAAGTACACATCAGGCAGGGTGGTTAGTCAGGCTACGTTCACAAATCAAAAGAATGACTTCCTAGTAGACAGCTGTGCTGGTTGGCTAAGTTACATCACATGTCTATGACAAGGTGTCTCATGTGTGACACATTCGAAAAGCAATTCAATGTGAGCGATCAGCATGCCAGACACAGGTGGTGAGGAAGTATGGTACGGATTGGGTAGTGTCGCCCGTTATTACTGGCAACTGAAGTTTTATGAGAGGATACAAAATATCACGACCTCCACGAGCTGCATGAAAAGCACATCATGGACGTCTTCAAGCTCGACCATGATATAAAAATCATCAGATCGCTCACCCCTGCTCTGCGCAACTGCATGCTGAGATGCAAGACGACGCCAATTCTCTCACACACACACAAACAAAACCACTGTTAGCATCTTTAGCACGTTCCGCTACATGAGTGAACGGGAAGACGCAGGGAACAGGAGCCGTACCCAGGAAGAAGGCCACAGTCTCCGAGAGGGAGGAGAGGAACATGCTGGGCGCCACGTCACCCAGGATGCGGCCGATCTGCTGGTGAAGTTCCTCCTGGGGCATCCGCTCGTCCCTCTGAAAGGGCAGGGGGAGGGGGGTCACACTCCATAGGCAAACACAGTAATCTAATCCGGCCTGGACTGTCAGCCCTCGCTATCCGATCAGGGACGACACGGGGGGGCACTGGGTTTACATGGCCTTATTTGCAAACCTTTCACTCGTGTCTGCTCGAGATCATTTTGGAGGGGGCCAGCTTCAAGAGGATAAATACCAGAGAGCCAATATAGAATCATTATAAAAACATCCAGAGACAGACACAACCTGCAGCTAATTGCTGAGGTGGAAACTTCAAATGTGCAGCAACACAAAATGACATGAGAAGATGTGGTCATGTGACCATGACATGTCAAAGTGCACTGCGACACTAACGGGAAATTAGTGTGTGTGTCTGTGTGTATGTGGGGGGCAGGAACAGAGGGGCACCTGGTACGTCTGCACAATGATGAAGATGTTGTCCACGCCCACTGCCAGGACCAGGAAGGGGATGACCTCGATGACGATGAGGGTTAGGGGCACGCCGGCATAGCTGAAGATGCCCAGCGAGCAGGCCACCGAGCCGAGTACGATGAGGATCCCGGCGATGCCCAGCGAGATCTTCGAGTCCACCTGCGCGGAGGAAAGACGGGTTGGACACGTTCCGGAAAGTCAAAATGGCACAAAACGCACAATCAGAAGAGTGACAAATGTTGGTTTGAAAAGAAAGGAAGGAAACCAAACAAAGGACTCCACTAAAACTAGGCTGGCAGGGATGGGGGGGCAGGAAGTATTTTGGGGGAGGGAGGTTAGGGGGTGGACCAACCAGCAGGCGTCGGAAGCTCTGGATGTGGCCCAGCGCCAGGGAGATGTAGACAAACATGATGGCGTAGCTGATGCCGATGGTGAAGATGTCGCTGCTGCTCTCGCGGTCGATCTCGTCCTCAATGCTGCGCTCCGCGCTGAAGGCAATGGTCAGGTTCGGGTTGCTGTAGTTCTTCACGAACCGGATGAATCTGAGTGGGGGGGGGGGGGGGATTGCATTTACACTGTCATCGGCAGGAAAGCAAAACGTAGAGGGGGGGCGATACGTCCTCCACTCCACCGCACACGAGGAAGTTAACACCACAGATACAGATCGCATATACTGTGCGGTGCCAACGGCTCTCGAAGGCCGAGCTGACCCACAATTCCAGTGTTTCCCCTACCATTATATTAGGGGGGCACCATGCCCCCCCAACGGCACCTCCCACCCCCCTCTTGAAAGTCAAATTAATGTTATTTTCTATATAGCGCCAGATCGCATCATTAGTCATTAAAGGTTACCTTTCCTATAGAACATGTTTATTAAACAGACTAAACAGCCTTATGTTATTTATCTTATTTACACAACAGCTTGTCATTTTTGTCTCTACACGGTCGCGTGTTTACAATTCTCCTCTGCTCTCTGTATCGCGCGTGGCGGAGTTCCGCCCCGATGCGTGCGCACAGACACGTGCGCGCACACACAGGTGAGCACTCTCCCAGCAGCGGACGGAGAGCGCGCGTCGGAAAATATGCCGCTTCAATCCACCAGCACAGAAAGGGATATTCAGCCAGATATTCTGATTTTGGATTCGCGTTCTCTTTCCTCTTTATAAAAGTTCTGTGCAGTCCCTGTGCTCGTGTCTGAGTGCGTGTCAGCAGTGTAAACTGTGAGAGGGACTTCTCAACCATGAACAGGGTAATAAATACTTCTCGCAATCGGATTTTCTGCTTTAAACTATCACTATTTTAAGCTCTCAGCGATCACGTTTAAAGCCTAACAGTTAATGTATTTGCAGGTCAAGACAAACATCCGCAATAGGCTGCAAGAAGACCATCTAGCAGTCTGCATGCGGATCTCAATAAATGGGCGAGACGTTTCTCACTTCCCATATCAAGAGGCTCTAGAGATGTTTTTCCAGAAGCCCAGAAAGATACACTGCAGTGACAAAAGCTGCACACTTTGTGGATAATTGTCATAAAAAGAAAAGTTCTGATGTTTAGTTCAGTTGTTATATTGACTGCTGTCATTAAAAGAAACACGTGAACACCATGAATCCTGTGGGTGTCCGGCACAGATGACCACAGACTGCTTAGTTACCCGACGCCTATCCAACAGCTACTCTGCTGGGGTGTGGCGTGACCGTGCGCACGCCCCGAATCGCGGCAGCGGCAGCGGCGGACTCACTCGGCCTCCCAGGCCAGCGCCTTGTTCAGCCTCTCCGTGTCGTTGTGGTAGTTGTTCACTGGGAACGTGATCACCAGGGCCGTGGCATTGTTGTAGTTGGCAGCTGCGACCGGAAATTAGATTTAGCGAGTCACCAAAGAAACGAGGTTATCCAACAAAGCATGCAAGTACACAGCCATCTCCGCCAGTACAAAACTGTATTCCGTGTCAATAAATGCAGAAAAACACTGGACGAAGTTCAGTAGTGCATCTAGACGTTATTAAGGATGATTTTCATTTATAAAATGTGAAACTAGGGGCTGAGACACAAGATGCCTGATTACACCCTTGTGTAGCCCATGAGTTGAGACTCGGAGACACGCTCTAATCAAGAAAAATATTGGAAATGTAACGCGTGGCGTGAAACTCACCGTCGTAGCCACCGAGAACAAGCCAGGGGAAGATGGGGCCGCCGAAGGTGCCGAGGCAGGGGTCGTGGAGGAGCCCCGTGTCGTTCAGCGAGGCTGGGGCGCTACGGCGGCAGCGGGTGAGATTGGGTAAGTTTACGGTGCGGCAGGCGGTAAGAGTGCCTGTCGGAGAAAGGGGGCGTGGCTCACCTGACGCAGTACAGGAAGTGGCTGTGGTAGTCCGCGTACGTGAAGAACTCGTCTCCTATCTGGTGGTCGAGCACCTCGTGGCTGTTCTGGAAGTAGTTGAGCACGCTGAGGATGGTGCAGTTGTCGTTGTAGGGGGCCAGCGGGGCCAGGCAGATGTCCTTCAGGCGCACAGTCCCGTTCCCGTAGCTGGCCTCCAGGTTCTCGATGTCCGTCTGGAAGTCCAGCACCTGCGGCACAGGGAGGTTAAGCTGAAGGACGTGACGGTGGGAGGGAACTGGGAGTGTCATTCAAACACAGCTGGGGAAAATGGGAGAAGGCCAACCAGTCACTCAGGGAATCAACCACATGAAACATCACACACACACAAACACGCAAACGAAACTAAAAGAAAACATTTTCGTAAACATAACTAAACGAAAACCATATTCCACATAAACCGCTTCCTAAACAAATAAATGTTAAATACGTTTCCTTATTTTATTAATGGTATTTAACTAAAGTAATGAATTCTCTTTAATTACCATGAAGGCCACTGAAAAACCTGTCGGTGGACCTCCAGTACTCAGGAGGCACAGAATGCAGGCTTGGGTCCCACTGGCCGCATACCTGATGCAGCACCCCCTTGTCCAGTGGGGCACCAAACGGCACGTCAGGACCTCCAAAGTATGGGGAGAAGGTGGAAGCCGAGTGCAGGGTGGTGGTGATGATTAGCTGCTCCGTGCGGAAGAAGGGCCCGAAATGGCTGTCGAAGTAGTCCTTCTCCTGGCGGGCCTGGCTGCCCGGCGCCGACCACAGCTCCACCGGATCGGTAGTGACGCGCATGTAGGCCAGGCCCCCCGAGCACGCCGCCACAATGACCAGGCTGGCCAGGATCACGGCCAGCGGCTGGCGCACGCACAGCGACCCCCAGGCCGAGAAGAGGCGCCGCAGCGCTTCCTCAAAGGCCTCGCCCAGCGTCTCGCAGCAGGTGACCGCGCCTGCAGGGGGCAGTATTTCACAGCTCACCAGCTTTTACGGCGAAAGCGGTTTAAAAAAACTGACCGAAACTGAAAACTGAATTGTGTAACTTAATTTTAGAAACAACAATATACTGCTTAAGAGCACATTTGGCTGAAGTGTGCTTTTGTTTTTTTTTTTTGTTTTTTTATAAAAACCAGTGGTGTTAGGAAACCATACAAAAACGTTTCACTAAAACATCACCACAAAGGCTTGACACCTCAAAAAAAAAAACACACTATATACTCAGATGTTTGTTTCAATAGGTGCAAACATCTGATTGTCATTTGTGGCCCTTTCATAAAGCAGAGAGACGCGAGTATGAGCCACACACACACATCTAGTCAACAAACACACACTATGGATGACACAGATGGCGTGATAATAGAGGCAGGTGCCACGGAATATCGAGTAGTGAAAACTTCTGCTTAATGGTGCACTCAAGCGAGGGCAGGAAACCCAAGTTTCAGCAAAAGAAACGCTGCCTGTTAAAAAAACCAATCACCCGTTTAACTTGTGATTCTGGACACGCAGATAAGGGGGAATTATCCTCAAAGTTTATTACAGAGCCATTAAAACTGAGGTTTATGAAAATTTAAATCCAGTGGAGCATTGCTGGCAACAGAAAACAAGTCAACTGTAGCAGTCGGGTGAAAAGCCAAAGTGAAAGATTAACGTCACGAGTCGCCGATGCACTAGTGCAGCAGAGACACTCACCCGAGTCGCCGTCTCTGTTCACGGAGTGAGCGCTGTTGCTGTCCAGGATAGGTCCATATTCTGACAGGATGGCTCTCCTCCTGAGCAGGACAGACAGAGGCACTCATGCCCACTTCTGAACAGAGTCACTGTGCGCTTCTGCCAAAGCGCTGGCAACCAGAAGAACAACCGTGGACTATTTTCAAACGTCCTCACCTGTAGCACCAGGTGCCCAAGACCCCACCGATGAAGACCAGCAGGAAGACTAGGTAGGAGATCCACATGATGACAGCCATGGCGTCCATGCCCAGGATGGTCCAGGGCGGGGGCAGGGGGGGCGGCACGGGCATGGGCCCACACACCAGACTGCAGTCTTGGCACGAGCATGGTTCCGACCCGTCCGGGAGGGACTCGTTGCAGCCACGTGTCGCGTTGGTCATCGGCGTCATGGCGGCCATCGGAACATCTGCGACAATGAAGGTCACGCAGTTACACGGACATATCTTCAGAACAAAACCTGCCCCCCCATCAGATTTACGACTTCCTCGAACTTTCCAAAAACGGAACCAACAACTGGCAGCAGAGGGTTCTGATTCAGTGGCTGGTTTCATGGGATCAGAAACAGACTGACATCCTGTCCAGGGTGCCTCTCACCCATGAGCCCCCACCCCCCCCCCCACTCAGCCTCAACCCTGACCAGGACAGGCAGAAGATGGGTAGGTGGAAAACAAACAAAAATTTCAGTAACCTTGAGCAGAACTTCATGAGGCAAAAAATCAATCAAATCTGTTGACTATTTATATTCCGCCAAGCTGGACACATCTTCAGACCATGACTTTCCACCAAGCAATGGCCCAGTGTGGGTGCCTGGTCCCAGAAACCACTAATCAGTGTAACACAGCTGAAAAATTTAAGTATCTTGGGTCACGTTCCAGCAGCTGTTATCTGCCCTTTATCATCAGAACCGGGATTACCTGTAACTGGACCCTAGCGGCCAGAGAATGTTTGAGCGCAGCCCTGACGTACGGAGACGTCCATTTCTGTTCAAACCCAGGGAAGCGCACTTGTAATTGAAAGATTGCAAGTTCAATTCCCCGACCAGCAAGGCACCACTGAGGTACCCTGGGCAAGGTACCGCCCCCAGGCACTGCTCCCCGGGTGCTGAATTAGCTGCCCCCTGCTATGTCACGACGTCACATATGGGTTAAATGCAGAGGACACGTTTCGTTGTTGTGCACTGTGTGCTGTGGTGTGTCAAAGACCACTGATCACTAAATTCAGAAAATTTCACCTGTAAAGATGGGGGTGATGGAGAAGGGAGCCTGGCCATTGTTGATGCTGAACATGTACTCTATCCAGTTGGTGGCATTGCAGTCCTTTGCGTCCTTCCCACAGAGGAGCGAAAGGGCCTTGACGTTGCTCGACGGGGCCTGAACGTCCATGCAGGCGTTGAACATCGCTGAAAAACACCACCTCTCATAAACCTTAGCCTTGAAGAGATACCTCCAAACTCTCACCCACACAAGCAAATACAGGAATGAATACCAAAGACCATGTCAGATGTATCTGCATTGCAACACAGAACAATTGCTTAAGAGCCTTACTCACAAATACCATTAGGCAGTACATAATCTTATAAATCAAATATTAGAGTAGTTCCTTAAAGATTAATCATTAACCACTGTTTGGACAGCATCTGATACTATTCAGCCAGCAAAGAGGCTATTCAATCAAGTCCTTCTTTGACATACACTGAAACATCTTTAAACTGAAGATGAGCATTCTATAGTAGGGCTGGCCAATCTTATCCACAAAGGGCCGGTGTGTATGCAGGTTTTTGCGATAACCTTTAGGTCAGCTGTTCAAACCCAGGTGTGAGGACTCTTCAGTCAATCAGTCCTCGAATTAGTAATCTAATTAGTGAGTTGCAGCGAAAACCCGCACACACAGCAGCCCTTTCGGGATAAGACTGGCCACCATTGCTGTATAGTCACAATTGCACATAAAGCTTCACCTAAAGCGAACTCAGAAGTCTCAGTCTGGATTCACCGTAACTGCCTTGTTATGCAACAGGGTGACGTGTTCACTTCCTGACACACCACGCTGTTGCACAAGCAAAGGCTTCCCGAACAATGAGTTAAGATTATTTTCCAAATGAGAAATAAATGACTAGACTGTAAATGCCCGCCATCAGATTTTACAGTGATGGAAAACATGTGCCGTTTTCCATGAATTTAGCCACTGTCATTTCTGCATTCTTCCTGTGAAATGTTCTTTGTTGTGACATAAGCCGGTCGCCAAGCAACTTCCATTCAAACATGAGTTCTGGATTCAGCAACGCCGGATTTTATACCCTTTCACCACAATCCCTTTCATCCACTTTCAAACGGGACTAGGGATACCTAGGCCTTTCTAACCAGTCCTTGGAGGAGAACCCTAAAGACCAAAAATCACTCCTGTTCTTCGGCACTCGCCAATGACAGACTACGGTCATACCAAGAGAGACGAGAGTGAAGCCACACAAGGTATTCTAGGTGAGGTCAAGCTACATTTCACAACTACCAGATGCTTTTGTCCAAAGTCAGGATCAGACAGCACGGTCAGCCTGTCCTTGGAGGAGCCGTGGTGAAGTGCACAAAGGCCCAATGGTGACGTCACTATATCAGCTACAGGATATGAGTCCTACGTGCAACGATATTCACGCACGCAACCATCTACAATGAAGCTGAACAAAGAAGAACTGAGATTCCCAGCAGCTGTATGGCCAACTCCCCACAAGGCCTCCTCACCGTTGGCGAACGTCTGCCCGATGTAGTACTGCAGTTCCTCCACATTGGTCTTGTTGTGCTCAGCATCGGGAGAGAACTTGGTGGCATTCAGGAAGAGGCTCTGGCGCGGGCTGCACGTCAGCTCGCAGAACAGGTTTACCAAGTTGTAGAAGCAGGCAGGACACCTGCGGAGAAAGTGAGAGGTGGGGTGTGTCGTCACGGACGCCGCGGTGACTGCAACACATCTGCATGCACAATCTCGAGGAAGCATGCGTCACAGCAACACCGCATGACCGATGACTAGTGGAGTGATATTACAAGTGAAGCAATGCTTCAATCTGATTGGCGGCCGTTTGTGAGGTGTTTTTTCACTGACCAATAGAGAGGCAGCTGTTTTACACACAGATTCTTTCCTGTAGGTTCCCAAAACCTTCAAAAAGGCAACCATTCCGGTACAAAAGTAATGTGGAGATTTACTCTTATCATGACTGGTTATATATCAGTCGTAGCATTGAATATAAAAATAAACATACCACCTGAGATTTATAAGCATTCTCAGCTCAGAGTGCTTCTGGCTGTATTGCGTTTTAAGAGACGTATCGAGCATGTGATGGCCGACAAGGTGGTGTTTAAGACCGCTACTGACCTTGAGAGGAACTGAAGAGGAAGCTGAAGACTCCCTTTCAGGGTCTGTAGCTGCTGGACGTCACAGCAGAGGCTGTCGGTTCCATAGTCCAACCCTGGGCACAGCTCCTGTATGGACAAATGGACAAACACACACACGGTTTGTTTTCTGAAGACTTATAAGCAACTGATTCACACAAACATTCCCCTTAAAAAGGGTTCTTTTTGCGGAGTGTCCCAACCACTATTGTTCAGTATAATCCTTGCATGGACAGATGTGTCTCCATGGAAAAACAACAGAAAGATAGCCCACATTTCCCCACGCAAACCCCACGCCAACCGGGCCGACTCACCGCCAGCAGGTCGTGCCCCTCCTCGGGCAAAGGGATGGGGGGACCAGTGTAGTTACAGTTGTAGCGTTTCCCAGGGACCTTGGTAGACATGCCGCACTCGCCATACCACACGCAATGCTGAGCAGACACCTGAAGGGAAAAGGGGGGTTAGGTTTGGTTTCCCCATCTAGAAAACAGGCCCAGGTTGCATGAACATAGACAGGGCTCAAATACAATGTTATTTTTAAAAACTGTGACATGCTTTCGCATAGTAACTTCCACCAGCGCAGATATATTTACGATCACATGAGGAAGCGAAAGGCCCCAGCGAAGAGTCAGGCGTTCTGCGGCCAAGAACAAAAGAGCAATCATGTGTCAGCTGGGCCACGCGCCAAAGGAGAGGCAACAACAAATGAATCCGATTGGACTAAGCGGAGCGAAGGCAGGACCGAAAACGCCAAGGCTGCGGCTGGCCATCTGCGGGACGCCGGTGCATCGATAAGACAAGACCACTGCACACGAAAGCCATGTGCTCTGCTTACTAGGCTCACAGCCTCCTGGAGCGTTATGAAAATGCCTGAAAAGACGAGAAGCTGTCAGCTTGTTAAAGTGCATGTAGAATACTGGCCTCACATCCCCTTTCAGCACAAAGCAACCTGACAAAAGTGAATCTGCCTGCTAACCCTACGACCCGCTTTCACCTGCTTCCCCTTTCAGCTTTTGGTGGCCATGTGGTCAAAATACAATTACCAGTAAAATCCAGTTATAAAGGACTTCAAGGGACCTGGCAAAACAGTCCGTTATATCCAAAGTCCGTTATATCCAGAGTTGCTGAAAGCCCAGAACAGAACTACAGGACACCATTTACTCATGCCACACCCCAGCAGACACACTTGTGGTATAGATTATTATATTGTACATGTAGTAATCCAACTTTACCTGAGCAGATGCGTGACTATTAATAATCCCGACTACGTATCTGTGCTGGATGTCACCGGCTCGCCACGCACCTTCTCGCCGGAGCCTGCATGTCCGTTATAGCCGAACAAAACTACAGCTAAAAGCAGCCCTGGGGACCAAATTGTTTGTCTGTTATAAGCGGAATTTCGTTATATATGCGATTCTGCTATATCCGATGCTTTTTCTGCATGTTCTTAAAGGCGCACGGCCGGGACCAGCGGACCTTATCTGTTATGGACGATATTCCGTTATAAGCGAGTCCACATTAGTTTCGCTTTTGGCGCTTGCGTGTAAAATAAGTAATAAAATCGATTTTCATAAAAACACATCGTCCTGAACTGTAAATTCGAATTAATTAATAAAATCGATGTATGGCCCACCTCTACGTGAGACTGATCAGCTGATCACCAATCAGACCGATCAGGCTGAAAATCGGCCCATTTCGATCGCTGGCTGATCGATCGGTGCATCATTACTTTCTAGACAAGCACAAAACCTTTAAGGACGTGGATCCATGCTCCAAATAGCAAGAGCAGCCATGACCACAGTAACTAGACAGCTTTGTTGTGCTGTAATGTGCGGTTCAACCAGGGACTCTTGCTTCCTATAACATGTGCTACACAAATAAAATTCCATCCTACTCAACGAGCAAGAACACCTATGCTTGTGTGGTACAATGTGTTGGTGGAAAACCGACCTAACCACGTCCTCTTTCAGTTGCTTCAGAGAGTCAACAAAATGTACCTTTCATGGCTTGCCAAACATATCTCCTATAAAAAAAAAAAAACACACGATCAAAAGCCAAAAGCGAAATGCTTCAGAGTTCATCGACTTGCTGACTGTAAGGGTAAACGAACGGCTACCACATCAGCTGACATCAGGAGATGATTGCTGAGCTCAGCAATCAACAATCCACATGCAACCAGGGGAGGAGGGTGCCGTCCGTTTGGGACAGAACTTCATCTCCAGCACACAATCGCGTGCAGGACAACCATGGCAAGAACAAACTGGCTAAGGGACACACAGGAAACCGTGAACATTTGCCTTAGAGAGAAGCACAGAAATCCCACTCTAAAGCTGGGTACATACCAAGCCATTGGTAAGAAACAAGCGGCTCCCATCGATTGTGAAAATTTGGACTGGGACACACCGAAGTGACTAGTGGTCCAATCAGAGCTCTGTTTCGTCAACCAGCTCTGGCGCTGATTCAACATGCTGAGTCCGATAAGGACAGAGTGTCCATATTGCCACACACACCGGACTGACAGGCAGTCACAGAATCACGTCGACAACCTGACAAGGCCAAAGAAATGATCTGCACCTGTCTTCTCCTGTTGATTATGAGAATGTGTGCTGGAACACATCAGCACAACTAGAGGTGGCGGTTGAAAACAGCCCAATCATAGAGCTTCGACAAGCTCAAAATCGCCCAAAACAGTGCCAACAGGAACAGAGTCCAAACATGCTGCACATACCAGCGCAACAGACAGTCACCAACTCATCGACAGCCCAATGCTTATCGAGAGCTGAAAATCGGCTCAGTGTGCTACAGGCTTAAGTGATACCGTTGCATCCAGACAGGACACAACACAGGGCGCAGAACAAGAGGATGTCCCCTGAGGAAAACTGATATGCCTGCTGTTACTTCCATGCCGCCAGTGGAATCAGAAGGGACTATTAGGGAACCGGACCCCTCTGGCTGAGGTGTGAGGGACATGGGGAACCCGTCACCCCAATTGGGAGAGGTACAGGTTCCTGTTTATTTCAGACAAAAAAAAAGAGAGAGACAACCAAGCATGGTACAGCGAATCATGTGATCAGATGTCACATGATGGTTTTCCAAGCACGCTTGTCATACATGCTAAACACAGCACAAAAACATAGCTTCAGCAAAGTCAAAACTGAAAGCTCATACTTAAGAGTAAATAAAACTTTAAAACCCCAATATAACCAAATAAAACATTGTTTGCAATCAGAGTGTGTTTTCATTCCCCACAAGTGTCCATGGCAACCGGCCTTGCAAACGAGAATGCAAATGAGGGTGGACGGGCACAAAGATTATGGTTGTTATTCACTTAATGCTTTTTTGACAAAGCTTTGATTGTAAGGTCCCTGAATTCAATGCCCCTCTGCCAACCACACACAGAGGAAGTAAATAGTCTAAAGACACACTGCACTTTGAGTTTAAACACTCAAAGTCTTAAACTCAAAAATATTACTAAGCAGAAACTAGAAAAGTAGAATGCAGAAATTTACAAGATGTTGCAATTGTTGCCATTTATGTAGCTAACCAGTGTATGAAGTTACTCCACGTAATGCTGGCTCTGACGTGCACAAGTGGTGCCCCTTATACTGCAGGGGATACAGGCTAATGAGGTTTCGGAGATTATTATATATTTTTTTATATTTGTCAGAAAGATAAGTCATTAACATTATCCACACAAATAACCGTATGCGTTTTAATCCAAACAGCCGAAGACTGGGGGGGGAATGGTAGCAGTTAGAATCAGGGTCAGTATTAAGATCAGGATTAGGTGAATTAATGAAGCGTCGGACACCATTTCTCTGAAACAGTACTCTTTAAAAGTGTCAAAGCAAAGAGCTGCGAAAAGTTGACCCGCCCCCCCCTCAAAAAAAAAAAAACAAACGTTTAACCGGCCTCTGTGAAGCGGCCGAGCCCGTGCACCGTACCAAAGGCGTGAAGATGCTCCGCCGGCAGGCTGCACTCGCCGGGGTGGCGGGGGTCGGCGGACGTGCACTTGCAGGGCCACCAGCGGCTGAATCACCGCTACCAGTCAGGCGCGATTCAAATGACTCATGTTACCCCTCATAAGCCGAGGTAACTTTTAACACTCCCCCCTCTCCGGGCCGGTGGCTGGGCTTTCCGGCCCCGCTGAGAGGCCGGTGCGCTCCCTCCCGAGCCCCGACTACCGAGTATAGCACCGGCGGCACTTTGCCGGCTGCTTACCCCCGACCCACCAGGGCCTTTTACCGACCACACTGTCGTTTGAAAACACAGCCCCGGACCCCGGCGTCATTCGCCCTACAAACAAACCGGCTCGACCGGCTCGACCGGCCGTTAAACTGTGAGGGAAAAAAAGCTTAAACTCACCCATTTGTGCGACACCTCGAGAAGCAGCGCGAAGAGGCAGAGCCAGAGCAAAAGCGTCGTACCCGGCGCAGCGCCCATCCCGGAGACGCGGCTCGAAAGCAGCCTGTGACTGACTAGGCTGAACTACCAGCACCTTCAGTTTGCGGCGGGCGGATCCGCTTCCGGCCGTCAGCTGAGGCGCCGCCGCGGAGCTCCGCCTCTTCCCGACCGTCGCGTCTTCCAGCGCCCCCTACTGTATGCATCAGAGAGAGCTACAGCTCGTTGGGTCTCGGTCGTAAATAACGTTGCAGAGAAATACGGCAGAGATGAACTATGGAAAGTCCTTCCTATTTAAAAAATATGTGCATATAAAATATAGTTAATATTAAATTATCGTTTCTATAGATATAAGGAATACTCCTTTTGTCATTCAGTGCCCGAACGCAAGAAACGTTGTCGGTACTCAAGGAAAAAAACAAGAACATGCCCGTAATGAGTACTGACCACTTAAAGCGACTGGATACAGTGTTGTGACTGCTGAGTGATGCCAAACGCCGAAATTCTTCAGAACGATCTCAAATTTATTAACACATATAATCCATTTATTTACGATACCCTGATGCTGGTACATATAACTTCGTGATTCATCGTTTCAGAAGTTTAAAATCAATATATCGATGAGTGGTCTCTTTCAGATTCTGTACGTGCATTTTAGTTACGCTGAGCATATTTGAATATTACAAACATAAATTAATGCAACTTAAGGGTTGCCAAGTTTGGTCAGCTGACAATAGTAAGATCAGTCCGAGACAAGTCTGCACATGCATTTAGATGTATGTAACAGTTTTATTATCATGTAAATAGTCTGTATGGCTTGCAAACTGCTCCGACGATTTTATGTAGATAACTTTAGGTTTATAATGGAATAAAATAGGTTTGCTGTAAGATTTCTTGCGAGCGTGAGAGTCTGAAAGCGTGAGTTTGCAACACTGCAACTTAACGATTTTCAAATATCGTAAATGTTAGATATTGAAATTATTAAAGATGTGTAAATCTTAAATATATACATTTTGAAGAGGAGCATTTTATAAAAATCGATCACATGATCTGCTGCACGAAAGTATTTGATTTGTGATGCGTAAAAATGTGTTGTCTCGTTCCAGAACTAATACCCTAATTCAATTTTATATGTAGCCTATAGTCACTGGAAGCAATTTACTTAGTATAATCATTTTCTGTTGACAGAATAGAAATAAACAGTTTTAATATTGACTCGGTTGGGTAACAATATGGAAACATCGCATTACACATTCCAAATACAGAACAGAAGCTGTAAGCTGTCTTTGCATGCTTAATCATGCCTAGTCAATGTTTCATCGATACAATGCCTTTGGGAAATTAATTCAATGAAGAATTGATATATTTGGATTGGGATATGCATTAATTTTTATAGCATAGCGTAGCTTGATTGCTTATGCTATTTTTCGCTTGATCAAATCTATTTTCTAATTAATTAATACAAACGCACACATTAAAACCTTAAAGGCTGTTGTTCTTGAGCTCTACAGGACATCCGACAGATGGCGCCAGAGACCGTTTACTGAATGACCTACCCTGGAACGTTATCAGCTACTTGCAAATGAAACATGGACATGACTGCGCGGAAATGATAATATTTAACAGAATAGCACGAGTAGCCAAAATATTATTTTTTACCGTAATTTCGTTAGGTTCAGGGATTCCGGGAACAAAAAACAAAGCTATAGTATTTATCAGCTGTCAGGTTATATTTCTGATTATGTGCATCAGATGAACTTTTTCCACTTCTTAGTATAAAAGAGCTTTTTCCACTTCTTAGTATAAAAGAGCTTTTTCCACAACACGCAGCCGCAATCCGTATAATGTAAACCTACCGAATAAATATCTTGGGAAAACGTCAGGTTGCAGCTGTCTCGTTTTCTTATGAGCTCGCAAGCACCTCGCATTGCTATTCTGGCATCCCCAAGAGCACTTTTCTGTTTGGTGCTCGTTCTCGTTCTCGTTCCACCTCGGCCTGAGACTGGGTAGTGCTAGGGCGCTTTTCCACCGCACCAAGTACCGTACTTTTGGTACAAAAAGATACAATCTCAGGTTAAGAACCAATTTGATAAAACTCCATAACATGTCCAGCTGCGTGAAACTATTTAATTTGTAATGTGTTTTGTTTTTGACCGTCACTTCTGACGCTAGTGCTGAGAGTAAGAATACATTGACAATTAAAGGAAACACGTTTTGCAAAGAAATATAGTTCAGTGGCTCTTATTGGATTCCACGATCATGTAACAATTTAGCCTCTTAAAAAAACGAAAATAAATCTAATTCAAATCAATTTCGGTCCCAATTCAAAAGTAGGCTTATATATTCTCATTTGTCATTTGGGTCTGACACGTGTTCCCTCCAACCTGACCTCTGTGCTTGGTTTGTGCAGATACATGGTAGATTGGTGATTAATCCAGGCGATTTAAACTTATTCCGGAGATGACATTTCCTCACCTGACAAGACAACCGCACCAACCAGTCATGTTGCAATTGCACAAACCGGCAACTGTATTGAAATAATAATAATAATGCTAATAATAATAAATGCCCCCAGGACACAGTTTTTACTGCTTTTTTTCCGTAAAAAAACAACACGGATTTATTTGCACCAAGTTTCCAACCTGAGTGCACCCGCAAATCAAATGTGGAACCAAATACCTCTGTGATTCAATGTAGACCGGCTAAAATCGGTAACAAGGTCCATGTACCACTTGATCAAGCTTTCGTGAAACAAATCAGAATAATTTCAAACGTTTAAATTTCTCTTTGTTAAAATGCTTCCAATCCATATATGCATGCATGCCACACCATAAAAACTATAATTACACATTTCAAGGTTTCACATTCATCTTTATTATTACACTCGGATCGATGAACAGAGAAGCAATTCCGCCGTTTAAAAAAAAAATCAGAGAAATATAGGAGTCGATTAATACACATGGCCTTGGGAAAAAATAAACCAGGTTATTTAAATAAGCGTCATCTGGTGTCAGTTTAGGACCCCCAGATAGATTAACCTGCCCCTACAGAAATGCATTAATTTGACTGGATATTTGCTACAGAACCAATAATAAAAAATAATGTTGTCGTGAGTTGATGATTTCTACTCGGGAGTTAGTAAATTTGGACTTATTTGCACTGCGTTTGGTTTCGTTTTTAAGGTGTACACTAGAAGTGAATTTGCCTGTAGTGTCCCATAGAGGGCGACGTCTCCCATATTATCTGCAATTGACGGTGATTATGGATACGGAACTTGTCAGTATTCAGGGGTTGTGTTGTATCGGTTATCAGCTTTGTAATAGCATGACACGTAGATACTTGATAACCAGGATATGATCACCAATAATTAAGGTGCTTTCCCGTCATTACAGATAAACATTTGTTCTCTGGGCATTTTAGCTTCTTGCTTGTTGGCCGTGTAACGTCACATCAAAAACAATAATATACAAACAATCTCATTCTTTGACTGAATTAAGGCTGTATAATATAAAGGGAGCATATTAGCTATTATCTGATCAAAGCTTGGCCCACAATCACTGAATTAATTTTTAACGTGTTCTTTAATCATAAAAAAAAAGGATTCTTTTCTTTCAATTGACACTATACTTGTCTTCGGCTCAGCCAGGGAAACTGGTCAGTTTTGAATTATGGATTGTATTTGTCAATGAAGGGTGTCCTTGTTCATTGACAAATACAGGTCAAACATCAACTGTTTAATACGTGGAAAATAAGGAGATATGAGATGTTTTGTGACATGGTTCACATTACCCTCACAGATATGTTATAGTGAAGTAAATCAGTAAAAGACAATAATTAATGGGAAAACTGCAATTTTAATAAGTGCAGCCAAAGGCACAGTCGTGTTTCTTTGCTTTCAAGTTTGTTTAAGAAGATTCCCAGTGAAGACTCATATCTGGGACAGTGCTGGGTAGTTCAGGTCCAGAGAGTAAAAGTCCAGAGTCCAGACCAAGATTGCTGAGTCCAGTTGAGTACTCTGTGTCTGTGACTCTTTATACTCAACTGGTTGATTGAAACAAAATCCTGGTCTGGATTTGTACTCTCTGGAGCCAAACTAGCAGGCTGTGATGTGGGAACCATTCCATGTTAAGCTGTAGCGTTTGTGCACTTGGCAGCGTGGTTACATAAACAGCATGTGGAAAGTGAGTGATGGACTGTGATTATCGTTATAATGCAGACCGGTCGAATGGCACCAAAGCTGACAGGGAAGTGTCTCTAATATCCGCTTGCTGATTGGGTGATTCCAGAGTCTGAGATGACGCATCACTGCCCTTTGTGGTCCCATGTCCAAGAGGGGGGGGAGGATCTTGCGTCTGTGCCCTCATCTGTATCTCCTGGCACAGGGGGGAAGTGGCAAACTTTACAGATACCTTGTGTGCTGCTGTGTCATCACCCTGTTGTTCAGTGTACCCTGGAATGTATTACTCAAAATGTGACAATTTAATGTTTTGAATCTTCAGCGAATGGCGCAATAATGTGTAGCCTAATTAGCTTTTCTCATTTGTTGTCCTCTTAATGGTTTTCTGAGTATGAGGGGCTTCACTCATACGATTAAAGACTTTAGAAACTTTAGAATCTCGATGATTCCGTACTCATTGAAAAAAGCCGGAGACACTCTCTATAAATAACGCTGTCCAACGTCTCTGTAATATGCAAGGTTAACACCCATTGGTCCATACCATTCCGTTCAATTTACGTTCAAAATGCACCAGATCTTCTTTACCCGTCGCCATTGCTGTCACTTGCATGCACACGAGCCATTTGCTTATGCCTGTTTTTCCCGGCAAAGTTTTCACTCCTGAAAGCTAATTGTATGAATCCCATGAATCACCCTTCAAAAATGTTGCAATGGCATCAAACAGGAAGTCGGGCATGTAGACAGACAGGCCTTTGTGCTACTGGGTCAAAAGGGCCTTTTAGCACAACAAGACCTTCTGACTTTTACGCTTTCTGACTTGTACTTGAAACACAATCCTCGCTAATCCTCTATAGATGATGTAAATATTTGCCACTGCCTAAGCTGAAGGCTAGCACAGCCTGTGTGTCCATTGTCTGACCTGGGCAAGAGTAGTACCCCATTTTATACTCCTCTTATTTTTTTACCAGTCCCATGAAGCTTTAT